TAGAACCTATGCACATTGTTGAGAAATCAATTGATCTATGCAATTCCTCCAGGCTGATACGGCTGGAAGATTTCCACAATAAAGAAAGCATATGTTCAGTTTTTGGTTTAGCTAAGCCCATCAACCATAGTGCAACATTAAGCATCTGAGAATAAGGAAGTATAGGGAATATTTTCGAATTCCACAAACACTTCTCATCAGTGCTTGAGGACTCCCATAAATCACTTTCTTGAATACCCAAATCATGTAAAACTTTCTTCCAGGGTTTCCCACAAAATGTGCCATCTCTAGAAAGTGAACTTTTCGGGTTATCATGAAGGCCACAAAATACTAGGACACGTTCTCCACTTCCAACCAAGGGAACCTCCCAAAGGCAATGGCGATCTGGAAGCATGAATTTGATTGAATTGTCGGCACTAATATGGTCTTCTAGAGCAATGTTGACTCCAACAACTATACATAAGGAGCCAATTTGTATTCCACCAGAAATAGATGAATCATATATTAGAGAATCTTCTCCAATTGAGACTCCAGGTGCAATTTTACTAGAAAGAATAACAGCAGATGCTGTAATATCAGATGCAGTTGTTGCTGGAATAGAACACAGGTGTCTTCTACCAACTAATTCTGAACCAACTCCACTGAGGTGTTCTAGAACTTCATTTGAGGTCCCAAAGTGCAAAAACAACAAATCATCTGCAAAGAACAATACATGAATAAGTAAAATTTTGTACAGATGGAATGATTGAGAAAAAGAGAGGGAGAGATAAGAATGCAAATCAGGTTGACATACAGTCACAATAGCTGAACATCTTGTGCTTCCCTAATTTATTGACCAGTTCTTCACCCAATGGACGCTTTCTCAACCACTCATGCTTTGCAGGCACCCAGGCAGCAACCAGATCTTCATATAAACTCATCTGCAAAACACAGACCAAGTATTCTTAGATAAAATAAAGCATCGGACATAATCCAAGCATATATACATTGAAACATAACAAGAGCCCCTGCCATCCATTTCCTTTTTTCTCGGTTGCCTTATTGTCTCTAAAAAACCAAAGCTATATATTTTATACAAAACAATTTACTATACCTCCTTTTTGATCTTGAGGAGTTCTGAAATCATTTGCTGAGAGGAACATGAAAGGGTAACAAGCTCTGACCACGCCTTACCCCTAACTGCTATTATTCCAGTATCAAGAAGTGTTCTACCATCAGCTAGAACTGCCTTGCTTTTAACTAGCTCTTCTACACTAGGTTTCTGCAGGAGGTTATCTACCAAACTAACCGTATAGTTTTGAGTGGTATGTTCAGTTTTAGCTGCAACAATCACTCCATGGTTTGAAGCAACATCAAGGGTTATTGGAACAGTGATGATGCACGAAGTGTCCTGAGGCAGAGTCATGGTCGATGCATCAAAACACGGAAGAACATCACCTGTCATGGTTAACATCCCACCTGCAACCATTGAAAGAATCTTGCAAGTTGTGAGCAAAATCACACCACTCATGATTAAAGCACGTAACAATGTAGACAAGGAATAGCAAACAAATTGAGAGAGATTGAACCTTCAGTTCCAAAAGCTTGTCTAGCACAAGAAGCAATAGCAAGAATATGATCAAAGAGGAGGGGAACAGGGCCATCTGGATCATCACCGGCCAAATAGGGAAGAGGCAGGAACACCTTCCCCATAGGGTTAGCCCATGGCACCCTCTTAGAGTCCCCACCCGCATGGAGCAACAGTATGTGCTTTTTGGCCATCAACTCAGCCAATGCCACGTCATCACCACCACCACTGCCATTTGTGCTGGCCACCTGTACAAGAATGGTGTAGGAATCAATCCAATCCAATCATTTACATTGAAATAACAGAATTATACTAAGATCGGTACCTGTGAGTGGAGATCGGGGAGGAGGTGCTTGCGGTAATGGAGGGCGAGGGCGTGAATGGCATTGAGAGTGGCAGCACCGGATCCGATGCGCTGGCCATCGGGGTCGGGTACTGCAAGCGTGACGGTGGAGGGGGCGATCCGGCCCATACGCTTGGCCCGTTGGAGCTGCCAGGTGTAGAGCTGGGCCTGCTCGGGGCTGGCGGCGGTTAGGAGGATAGCGTCCCAGGTGGGGACTCTGGATGGGTGGCGGACGGAGAGCCTGAGATGGTACCATGATTTGCGGAGAAGGGATGCCAAATCGTGCTTCTGTTTGGCCCGAGAAGAGCGACCCGCCTTTCTGCTGGTCTCCATCGTCGGAGGCAAGTTGTGGATGGTTCTCTCAGCTGACTCACTCAGTGAAGAAGCATGGAAGAGAAGATGACCAAAGACCAAATCATACTCAGAGTCACAGTCACTACCTTCTCTTTCTTTGATGTTTCCACGATCAAAAAAATATTAACTGCCGCGGATGAGATGACCATAAAAAAATAAAAAATTGTATGGCAATGGCGTCGCCCGGAATCGAACCGGAGACCTTCAGTGTGTTAGACTGACGTGATAACCAACTACACCACGACACCATCTTGTAAACTGAATTTGCAGTAAGTGTTAATCAATCATGAAGAATTCTTAGATGGTGAAAGTATCTAATAGTCCACTAAGGTTTTAAGTATTATTTCTAAAATAAAAGAAATATGGGCATATATTAAAAATCAATCATGCTAGGTAACCAATAAAAATTCAGCCAACATCAGCCAACAACTTAAATTGGATGTTCTATTTCTTTATGTTTCTGATGTTCTGATTTTAAGTTTCGGATGTTCTCTTTCTAAAAAATATAAAGTTTAATAAGGTTGCTTTAGGTTTCGGATGTTCTATAACATCCATGATATTCTATTTTTTGTTGGCTGATTTGTTGGTTAGAAAATTATTGGTTACCTATACTTTTCCATTAAAAATAATCACAGCCACACATTTAGAATCTTTTTCTATAATTTTTAAAGTACTACTAGATACTTTTACCACCATAGACAAAATCATCCATCGTAATCTTGTTTGGTTTCTTCATTGAACACATTTTTTTTTTGTGTCTTTTCATTGAACACATTTTATATTCGATATTCGTTCAACACTTGTTTTTTTTTTTTATAATCTAAGTGTAAATAAAAAATAAAAAGTTCTTCTCTCACATATCACATTTTTAAAATGCGGTTAAACAAAAAAATTTATAGATAATACTTTTGATATCTTATTAGAGTATGGGGCAAGCAAAAATCAACAACAGTTTCAGCTATTGCTTTTCTTTTTTTTTTTTTTGACAATTTCAGCTATTGCTTAATGAAAAATATTCGATTGTTAAAAGCTCTGTTTTTGTGTACATTTTAAAAAACAAGTTACAAATGTAAACTTAAGCAATGTGTTAGCTAAATTAAATAGTACCTCAATTGTATTGGTAGGGATAGATATATATAAGAATTAAAAATACGATATTAACATGTGATTTAGAGATATTTTTAGTATGAATGAAATTTGTAAAGTAATTATGAAAAAATCAACAAGATTTATGTTGAGTGTGTTAGGATGTTTGAGTCCAAATGACTTGGTAGTTAGTTGGTTGGTAATTGGCGCGATATATGATGCGGTATTATGGGACTTACTCTCACTTCCCACCCTACAAGTGTCCGTTCCCTCCTCATCTTCAGCTTTCTCTTTCTCTTTCTTCATTATCACCCATCACCAAAACAAAACAAAACCACACCCTTCTCAGTAAATTTTCCTTTTCTTTTTTGGTTTTCTCTCAATTACTCTCCAGTTTCATCATCATTGTTTTCTATTTTCCTCTTAGCAGATGGTTTAATGAGATACCCCATACCATATGTTCAACTTTGATTCTTTCTTAGGTTATAGAAGCTAAGCTGGTGAAAAGAATGGATTTTGCAAGGAAGGTTGTTCTGGGTTTCGTATGAAGATGAATTTTTGCTATGATATGGAAGGTGGGGTACTGGATTTAGGTTCACTGCCTCAAACCATCGTTATCGAATGCC